TTTGGCCATTGAAGTACCAATACGTGCCACAATCTGGACGAATCTTGAAAGCAGTATGTTTAGTGAAACAAACCAGACATAAAAGGCCACATATTGTATGATTTATATGAAATGTTCGACATAGGCAAGGCCTTAGAGACAGAAGGTAAACTAGTGGTTGTGGGGGGTGGGGTAGGGAGATTGGGGAGTGGCTGCTAATGTGTGTGGGTGGAGTGATGAAAATATTCTGAAATTAGATAGTGGTGATTATGCCCAACTTTGTGACTATACTGAAAACCACTGAATTGCAGGCATTAAAAGGATGAACTTTATGGTTTGTGAGTTATATCTCAATAAAGCAGTTATTTAAAAAACAGTAGTGGTTGAACTGGAATCAAGAGTTCTCACCCTCTGGTCCAGGGTGACTTCAGAGGATCTGGCAACCCCTCTAAATGTTTGTCAAAACATTTAGTGTCTCTGTACATTTCTCTGGTTGTAAAGGTTCAAAGTTTAAGAGATGATCTGCAGGGCCGCCTGACCAACAAAGGGTCAGTGACACTGGGGAATCAGCAGAACCTCCGGGAGGGAGTGATGTGAGGGCTCTGCCTGGTTGAAGTATTGGAAGCTGTGCAGTGTTACTGGCCTAAGGTCAGGGCTCTGATGTGGGTCCGAGATCAGCAGTGGATGCCAGAATCTGGGCGGCTGTGCAGATCAGGCCTCACACCAGAAGACCAGAGGAATGGGGAGAAGAGCTGTCTTCGGCTGCAGCCTCTGTCTTTAGGCACCTTGGGCCATGAGGATGTGTGTCCTCCATAGGCATCTTGGGGGCTGCCTGCTGCTTTTGGAAATGGAAATGGTGAGAGGGGTACAGCTATGAATGCTTTAGATGGGGTTTTGAAAGCATGATGGCTGGTCCGGAGTGTTTGCTCTAGGAGCTTAGCTAGAGTGTGTGTCGATCTTCATATCATTATCATAACAGCCATTAATTGGGCATTTATGTGCCAGGCATTGTGCACTTGATATTTTCACAAACATTATCTCCCTTACTCCTCGCTCAACTCTACAGAATTGGTGCTAATATGATCCCATTTTATAGATGCAGAAACTTGAGATTTAGAGAGGGAGGAGCTTCATGGCTAGATAAGGGGCAGTGGTGGGGAGAGAAGCAGCAGGCTGTGCATGTGAGTAGCCCAGTGTGTGTGAGGACACCATAGTGAGCATTCTGCAGCTCTTGCTCCATTTTTTAAAATTTAATTTAATTCTTTATTTTTTTATTGAGTTATAGTCAGTTTACAGTGTTGTGTCAATTTCTTGTGTATAGCACAATTTTTCAGTCATACATGAATATACATATATTCATTTTCATATTCTTTTTCACCGTGAGCTACTACAAGATCTTGAATATATCTCCCTGTGCTATACAGTATCTATTCTATATATACCTCTCAGTATCTACAAATCTCCAACTCCCAGTCTATCCCTTCCTGCCCCCCTCCCCTCTGGTAACCACAAGTTTGTATTCTATGTCTGTGAGTCTGTTTCTGTTTTATATTTAATTCATTTGTCTTCTTTTTTTTTAATTCCACATATGAGTGATATCATATGGTATTTTTCTTTCTCTTTCTGGCTTACTTCACTGAGAATGACATTCTCCCTGTTGCTGCAAATGGCATTATGTTGTCATTTTTTATGGCTGAATAGTATTCCATTGTATAAATATACCACAACTTCTTTATCCAGTCATCTGTCGATGGACATTTAGGTTGCTTCCATGTCTTGGCTATTGTAAATAGTGCTGCTATGAACATTGGCTCTGTTTTTGAAAGCAGCTCTTCTCTGCACACCACTGCCTACAGCCTGAGCATGGAAATCAGAGATCTTTGCTCCTCATCCAAACTAAATTAAGATTCATGTCAGGCAAGTGGCAATAAACCATTGTCCATCATCCTTTCATTTACTCATTTAACACACACTCATTCAGAATCCGAATTTGGCCAAGTGCTGGTGAGGTGCTGGACTAACAGAATGAACGAGGCTAGGTCTCTGCTCAGAGGAGCATCCCAACGGGCTGGGTCCCTGAGCATCAGGGAATCAGTAGAATTGTCACCAGGCTATATGTGGCTGAGTCTCTGTGGCTCCTCAGACCTCCGTGTGTTTTGTGTTCAGGGAACCTTAGGCAGGGATGAGATGGATGATATGTCCTGTGATCAGCCTGGTGGGGATGGGAGGGACTTTGGAAGCATCTTCAGGGTCTGGACACTTCACTGCCTGCTGTTATACCCTGTTCGCTCATTGTGTGTTGTTCAGCGAACCTCAGGAATTCTCCTCTCCCCACGCAGGCCTTAATCTTTGCAAGACTTTCTTGCATCTTGCCTTCTCTTAGTTTCAATTTAAATGTCTCTAGGGAGTGATTTTCTTTCCATCCCCACTGCTCAGGAACCTACTTCAGTTGGCAAATAAGCTTTCTGTCCTCCTAACCATCCATCCTTCCCTCCCAGATGCCCTCCTACATATTGTCATTATGGTGAAAAATATGCAAATAACTTTGAAAAACAGCCTCCCAGCAAATGGGTATTCAAAAATGTAATAAATTAACCCCATAATGTAATCTGGGTCCCATGACCATCCATCACACTGATGCGATTAAGATATGAAAAACCAGATGCCGCAGAGCCCTATGGATGGAAATGACAGATGACTTTTCATAAAGCTCCCCCATGGCCCCAGCTGATTCGTCCCCCTGCCCCTGCCCTATCCCCACTTTGTTGGCCCCCATGAAACCCAAGGCCATCAGAGGTATAGAGAACATCTGTCCAGCTTGTTTGTTTTACAAATGAGACAGAGGCCTTTTGGGGCTTGAGGTCAGGTCAGTTTGATCTCTCCTTTATCTCCTAGCCACCCGTCTTCCTGTTTATGGCTGGCTCTGAATCCAAAACCCCAAACTCAGGCATTTTTATCCAGTTTCTAGTTGACAAGGTGGGTACCCCAGTGTCAAACAAGGCTTCTGGGACCTCAGTTTCCCCATTGGAAAAATGTGAGTGTTGAGTTGTATGTCCAACAAGGCTTCTCTGAAATTCTTTAGCTCTGTGGCAGGAGACCTATGAGTGGTTTGCACTGTGTCTTCTCAGGGCAGGGGGCTGGGGCTGAGGGCCCATGGAAAGAAGGCCTCCCATGAGCCCCCACGTCACTCACACTGTGCCCTGGAAGCCACCACACAGGAGTAGCTGGACTCTGAGTTCCTCCACCTGTTAGGCCCTAATCCTAAGGGACCCTTTACAGGGAATTGCCCCCTTAACACTGCTACTTCCTGTTACCAAGGAAAATGCTGCTTGGACAGCCTTCAGGAAGGGGAAAAGAGGGACCCTTGTTTCCCCCAGTTTTCAAAGCATCCACAGTGATGACGTCTCAAGGAGCCAGGGGATACCTGTCTACAAAGCAGGGGCTGCTCAGCTGGCTCCATGTGGAAATAGTCCTTTCCCATATGATGTGGGCAGGCTCCCCAGGTCTTAAGAAGGATTATTGTACCCAAAATAGGCTGCCAGGTGCCTCCATGTCTGAATTAAATAATCCATTCCTTTGGGTTAAGCATTGCAATTTTATGAAATGCAGACTTCCTGTGGAAAAGCCCAAA